GAGTCTGTACTGAAGAAATGAGGCTCCTAATTGGAGAATGAGACCCAAGGCGTACACTGCAACATAAGCAGTAATGGGCTTGCAAGTCATGAAATAACAAGTGAACAGGCAATTTATCAAGGCTGATCAAGTATTTGGATTTTATCTGCAGTTGCTTGAAAAGAAGAAATATTATGGATAATAAATGTCAATCAAATTGTGCAATGCACCACCCAAAAAGGCCTGGTCTCTTTGCCAGACACTGGTATGGGTCACTGGTATAGACACTGGTATAGACTATGAGGGTAGAATGATGCTACTCTTTCCAAAACTAAAATGACATATATCAAATGGAATAACCAATATTCATAATAACCACAAAATGTATTATTTCTTCTATTAATCAAGACAACAGATGCTTGGGTTAAATCCATTTCAGTAATGGTTCAGCATGTGCCAGCTGATTAGGATTCAGAGTTATAACAATAAGGAGAATTTACAGTTTTGATGTAGAAAATGAGCATAGAAGCAACTAGACGCTCAGAGGACTAAGTTTTTAGTTTGATAAATGTCTATGACAACTCCTTTGTTGATAGCTGAAGACGCAAGCTTCTAGTCAGTGTGCAATTCCCTGCCACCTTGGCTTTTCTATATGTGTTTCATTTTGGATATCTACACAATTGGCCTGTCTGTTGTAAAACACTTACAATGACGTGACGCCTTTTTTAGCTAGTAAACCGTGCATCGGTGCCTGTGTTGACAGGTGTGTGGCATGGGAGATTGCTGCTGCTTAAACAAACGCGGCGTGTCAAGTCAACAGTCAGAATAAGCTAATGTCAGGACGGAGGTTGGGGAAGGAAAGTCAACACAGAAAGAGACTCGAAGAATCCACAGCGGGGAGCTCAGAATATGCTCTTGTTTACCAAGGAGTCTCAGCTTCAAGTGAAGGGTCTTGGTGTCAATAGATCAAGTAAAAAAACACACTTACCCGATCCAAAAATCGCCAGGCTCATTAATGGGGGTGGGGGGGTGGGGTAGTAAAATGAAGCAATGAGAGCAATGTAGGCCTCCACTAAATGATATGGAATCACATATTAATACAGGCTATATTTTTAAGGACTAGGCTGTAACAGTTGAGCTTCTGAAGGATGGATAACAGCTGGCCTGTTAATTCTTATGATTTATTATTGTAGGATTAGGATTTTCTAGTTCTTTGAATAACTGGACGGACTGCAGTTAAGCTGCAGTTTTTACTCCACAGCTAGTTAGCATGTATTTCAGCATGTATGTATTATGCATGCATGCATGTTTGTATGTTAGCATTTATGCATGTATGTGTGTATGTTTGTATGTATGTATGTTAGCACTGCTTGTTAACATACTCATGGTTCTTTGCAATCAATTTATAAATTGTGAGCTAGCTTATCCAAAGACACTGCTGCTGACTTTATGCAGTGGTGGATCCTGACAAAGGCAAGATGGGCAAGATGTAGACAGTTGCCTACTGCGGCGTTTTCTGATGAGGTGCCGATTAAGCCAACTGTTGCCCCCTCACTGCATGTTTCACTGTCATGTCACTGTCCCTCTGTTGTTACAGTACAGAGGTACTGGTTACGTTGGTCCTGTCCTGCTTGTTCCTGACCCTCACGCCTTCTGCAGCTGCTGAACTATCCTAATAGGGATTTTGTTCCAGGACTGTGCTCCAGTCAGCTTCAGGTCTTACGCCTTTTCATTTATACTTCTGAGTATATATAACACTCCGCACAGTTGAGAATGTGCATCTCTGTGTCCCTGCGGGGCCGCAATTTTCGGTTGATTTCCATTTCCAATGTACTGTTTTCCACAGTTTACTTTAAAAGCATTTGCTCTTCCAAGAATGTGTGAAAAAAATACATCAACAATATATTTTATCCAAGATTAACCATGTAATTTACCCATTGTTGGTCCCATGTGACACTGGATGTGGAGATACATCAGGAGGAGGCACGGTTCTGCTGAAGAACATGAAGGCACCATTAGATGACATTTAAGGTCCTCTACCGAGAACATGTGCAGAGGTCGAAGCAAATGGTGTCCTAATGATGGTCCATATTAACAGACAGCCATTTTGGTTTAAGGGGAAAAATATCCCCTTAACTTCATCCAACCTTTGGCGAACGGCGATGAGGCCCATTTCTGCGAACATGAATGGACGATTACCAACATTATTGTGGCCAGTCTCCTGTTTGGAAAGAGACTCTCTGCTATTTGATTAGTGTGAAAGCCTGAGGGCTTCAGTAAGGGTCTGCTTCCGTCCTAAAGGCGTGACGCTTCCGAGAAACAAGTGCCATAGAGGAACTGCTATTACGTTTAGCGTTAATGATAATTTGAGAAAGACTTGTAAATTTAAATCTACTGGATAAGGGATTAAAATATCTCCTTTATATGCCAGTTAATTAAATTAGATCACTCAAATACTATAGTAACTACGTTAAATCAGGGCTTTTGGCCAATATCACTGCTAAAACCAGTATAGCAAAAATTATGTTTCCACCAAGTGATGTTATAAATTATATAAATTCTAATATTTTTTCCTGCTTCATTCAGGTGTTACTGGACAATCCATATTTTGCCCAGATGTCAACATTCGTCAGTGAGGTACTGGGCAAGGCTTCATCCACCCGTTCATTAGCTAGTGCAGGGACACCTCAAGCCTGGAGAACATTCCGGAAGCTTGGAGCACAAGGCAGAGAACCCTAGACAGGTTTGCACCCATATTTTTGTATTGAAATTATGGAACTGCTTTTTTCATGTCATAGAGGGGCAGGTAACGAATGAAGTGATTTAAGCATCGATGCTACTTTGAAGTTCCATTTCACAGAACATTTCCATGTATTCCTGTAACACAGTTAAGCTTCAGTAGCTAGTGTCATGGAATAACCTATTATAAAAGATCTAGATTATGTATTATGAAGTCAAATAGCTTGTGTGTGATTTACGGCAAGAGACAAGGCCAGCGAGGTAATACATTTAAACACCATAAACTAAACACACAAAAAATTACAGTACACTCATAACTCGGTTAAACAAAACATTTTTAGATAGTTACAAAATAGTGATTAATAAAAGATTAGTACATGTGTGTGTGTGTGTGTATATATATATATATATATATATATATATATATACACACACACACACTCTTATACTTTAACAAAAAAGACACCTTTATGATTGAAATACAAAAATTAAGATATTTCACTTAAAGAAAAACTGAAAGTTAATCCTTTTAATCCCCGTTAAGGTGCATGTATCTGTAAATTTTAATTAGTATTATGAACAAAAACAGAAATACATCCACACAGTAGATCCTGCCATATGCAAAAAAGATCTTTATTACATTCTTTAAACCAGATACAGTATCCATTGTACAATAATATCACTAAATGTGTTTAATAACTTTTCAAGCTTTCTATTAAACGCATTAATGGATAATGTCTCTTAGTGGTAGTGTGTGATTGTGTGTATGTGCCGTGTGATGAACTGGGTGTCACCCAGCCCTGTGCTCCATGCTGCCTGAAGGAGGTCCCCCCCATGACCCCCACCTTACAAAATGGATGGATGATTAGATAATACGTATTGTATACAAATCTAAAGTAATTATTGCATAATAATTATATATTTTATCATGTATATGTGTACATACATACATACATACACACACATATGTACACATCCTCGAGAAGTTATTAAACACCAAAATTACACACAGTCATTATCTCCCTACCATTTTAAAATGTCAAAATAAGCTTCTAGGACAAAGTTCTTGACTAAAAAAAATAACTATTTTTGGTACTTTTCTCTTTAAAAACATTCTCCATAAAAAAATAGAATTACAATTTAACAAGACAAAAAGGGGAAACAAAATACTAAAACAGGAAATAAAAAACTGAGTAGTGGGAGATAAACAAAAACAATCCAACACTAAATTCAAAGAATAAATCCAAATTTATATTTTATTCGTAATTTTAGATTCTATGTCTTCTACAGTTCAGGCTCAAAAGACCTGTAATAACATCGATATCAGACGAGGGTAAAGTCTTTGATAATTCTGTGATTAGCACTCACAAAAACATCCACTGTACACAGTGATCGAGGTGCAAGCTCTTCTATTCTGTGTTAGGTGTGACGCTAGGCTAACTGGAGAAGACACCATAGGACAGAGAGCCTAGCTATCTCCCTGAGCGATTGTGTGTATACATTTAACATCACCTCCAGGTCAATTTCAATAGACGTGGACAGACGAGGACATTTGCGAAGATTCCACTCTTCCAGTCTTTATTTTCGATTGTGTCATTAGCTTAAATCATAATACTCTTGTTTCCATACACTTTTTATGCCGTGTTTGCTTCTGTCCCTGTGCCAAA